GCGATGCATCCGATTCACTATCAGCCTCAGCCGCGTTGGTTTGCTTCTGTTGAAAAAGTGACATCAAGTCTGGCTTCTTATTGCCAAATGCCATCGCCACTAGATTTGCCACATCGGCGGCTGTGTTGATGCCTACATGTACAATTTTTTTTTTTTAAGAAAATTGCTTACTTTTATTATCAAATAGATTTACCAAACATTTGACCTGCGAACTTTAAACCCTGGCCAAGATTTTCCGCAACGCCGCGTTTGTTAAGCTGCTTCGTCGGTTCGTTGTGCTCGCTTGCACGGACAAGGAGTATAAGGCAAAGGATTTGCAAGCAACCAATTTTTGTACAGCGCATTTTTAAATTTTCTTCTACAGTCCTCCAGCTGCTAGCCTAGTATATGAAAGCTAAAAATTTCACGATCTAACCGCAATCGCTCCACATGCAAGACTAAATTTCTTATGGTTACTTGGTTGCCCGGGCTTCAATTATTGAAGAAAATTACTTTTGCCACGCAATGTTGCACGCAGTAAATGTTTAAATGATTGCTGTTGTCGCTTTTGCAATGCTTTTGCTGTTTTGTCACCAATTTATTTTCTTCAAACGCATGCATTTGCAAGGTTTATTGGGGTGTTGTTGCTGGTGACTGACTTGGTGTCACTTGAGCGCACTTCGTTGTCATTTTCGTGTCTTTTTTAAAGCTTTTTAATTACCTTAAAGATACATTTTCGTTTATGCATAGCGAGTTTTACTGTTATTCCTCATCATAAATGCTATTTCACATATATTTGGATGTATGAACGCATAATGCCGCCACACAGAAGAGATTAGATATTATAATAAAATAAACGAAAAATGACACTGAAAATGGCACAACGCCGAAACCGGTTTGTCTGCAAACCAAGCTTCACAAGGGATGACGAAAATTCGTTCCAAAATAAATTATCTTACCACCCTGTCGGAAAAATCAACCAACACCAACACACATTGTAATAAACCTTAAAACATCGTTAATAGGATTCCTTTTAGCATTTGACTTACACGCTTGGCTAGTTTGGTTAAAAAAAAAAACGCTGAGATCAAATAAAACGAAAGTCTGAAAATAATGATTTCTCTTTGTCATTCTACTCTAAAAAAATATTCCCTTTTGTTTCTTGATCTAATTCTTACTACTTACTTTAATAATGCTTATTACTTACTTTAGTAAGGATTACTTTAGTAAGGATTAGACAAGGATTAGAGACATGAGCCATTTGACAGTGGTAAGGATTTTTTTTGTTAGTTTTGAGCGGTGCCGTTATTGCAGAGGACCATCGATATGTAGGATGGTAATTAGCTTCCGAGTCTCGGATAAAGGTCGTATTCCTAAACTTGTCTTTTATTTTGAAGCCAGAGTAGATTGAGATTTCTAATTCCCGCAACCTATGTAGCTATCTTGTGGAGTTCAACAGTAAGATCTGGATGTTTAATATGCTCAGAAATATGTGCATCCAAATGCTTTCAGGCAAAGCTCTTTTAAGAACACCTTCCCATTAAAAGCTTTATCAGAAAATCTACTTATAGCCTTACCATTCGAAAGTACACTGGAATATGTGTTTCCAAAGCAAGGGAAACGTGTTGGTGCTTGTCTTTAGTTGTAACTGCGTCATTATTAGTTAATTTTAATTTTCTCCTTTTAAGAGAAGTTCAATCAAAAAACCTCTAGCTCTGTATATTTCATACAAAAAGGCGATAAGAAGTTGGAGAATATGGCTTCAAAAATTTTGAAATAAGAGGTCCTAGAAACTTTTCTTTATAATTCTGAGAGGCAATACATACTACTCATAACTCCAATGTATGTAGTTGTCTATCTAAGTCTTTCTTGATTTCTTCATGATCCACCTTGAAGTACACCACCTTACCGATAAAAAAAAAGAATTATCGAAATCGGTTCAAGTGGTTCAAAGGTATGGTAACATACATAAAAAAAATATTCCGACGAATTGATAACCTCCTCCTCTTTTTGAAGTCGGTTAAAAAAAGCTCGGAGCGAAATAAAATTGCAGAAGTTAACAGCGGAGCGATGAACAGAAAACCTTTGCTCCGAAGCACTGGTGTTTATAATCCTTCGTAGCACGGTTTTGCATTAGTTATTGTCAACTTACGGTAAGCTGAAGAAACTTAAATTCTTATTTATTCTATTGTGGTTTTGATTACTTAAGAAGCTAATCACATACTCGGGCATACAGGGAGCTGCCGTATGCTTATAGACAGAAGTAATAGGATGCAATAACATCTACAGTTTCACAGACAGCCCAGCGGGTTTAAAAGCTCTGGATTCTGTCACACACAACTCGGGAACTGTAGTGAGTTGCCGCAGATCTCCTTAACGTGATGGCAGAGCAGTTCACCTGCCAGGTAATGAAATGACGGATGAGCTTACAAGGAAGAGCACTTCCCTTTCACTTTAACCGTCATAGAAGAGGCAGGGCATGTGGCTCGCTACCTACAAGTTCAATATTCAGGTATTCTTCTTCTTCGAAGCAGGCGAGCGGCGGAGACAACATGCGAAATGGCAAAGCTTATTTGGCCGCAATGGGATGAGAAGAGATCGAGGCAGCACCTCATGCTGAGCAGACGATAGGTCTCTTTCGGTACAGGCACGCGTAATAACTTGGGGTGCCGTTTAACGACTTTTGCAGCAGCTGCAGAGACGATTAGGAGCCTGAATCAGTAACGAGTAAGGCACATACTTTGCGAAGTTCCTGCACTGGTAAGGATTAAACTAAGGCTCATAGATGCTGGAACAATTGGAGATCCTAGCGATTTAACGGGCTTAAAGATGCGGCGATTGCTCAAATTTGCCAACTGCACACACGAGATCCCTAGTGGTACCTGAGCGGGCCCTATGGTGAGCCTAAGTGTGCTGGTGAGCCCACCGGCAGCCACTTCAACCTAATTAACTCACATACAGTTAAATGAACGTAACGAGACGCTAGCTAATATGAAGTAGAGTGTTGAGAAGTAAAGCAAGTTGTAGAAAGTGTTCTATAAAATGTTCGTCCTATTAACCGTATTCAGCGGGGTATGCCCATTGCCGATCGCCATTTTCGTCGAAATACGAACAGAGTAATTTCTTGTGGTAAACGGGTAAAGAATGAAGAGAACACTACTACTAATTGAACTTTCCGGGTCACGGTATCCCAGAGGGATGAATTGGTCAATAGAATTCTCCTGCTATGTATGTATATGTAACACCCTTATAATACTTATTTGCCAAACACAGTCGCTCTATCTGCTCCGAAATTTCAAGGACCTGCGATCCTAACACAAAAACGCCTTTCAAAGTTTCGAAAATTTCAAAATTTAATTATGGCTGTGTTCAGAAATGCATGAAGCTTTTTTATTTCTAAACTATAATTGCGCAACTAAGTTCCAATTCGTCATTTAACCGTGGTTGCGCATACTAGACATTTTCATCAATTATAGTTTAGATAGAAAATCTGCTGATGCTTTCACTTGATGCATTTCCGAACACAGGGTAATACAAGCACACCTAGGCTGGGGGCAGTGCACCACCAGGTCATAAATATCGTCGGTGATACTGCAAAACGGTATACGTCTATTATTACCCTTGACACTTTAATAGTCTAGAATGACAAAACTGTCTACCTTTGGCTGATGAAGATGAACGATTGCCAGAAGCGATCAGATACAGATAACAGATATATTAAGCAACAGAGCTAATAAGTGACATAGCACGTTTTGCAGTATCATCGACGATATATTCCGAAGCTAAGAAATTTTTGCTGAGGTCACTTCGTTGCATGCATCACCAATTTTGCGATAAGAATGATCAGAGCTCATATAGAAATCAAAAAGTCTTTGCGCACCCACCAATAATTTCAGCAAATGCAAATATCTGAAAACTTTGTGTTGCCATGATAACGAATGCTCATTTCATTAATTGATTGCCTTTGTTTAATTTTAATATGCACAACATTATTTCCTTGAACGGCATGTGCATATAAATACATATTTGATAACAAATGCAGAACCAATCATTTATTTGTATGTTTAATGGAATATTTTTTTTTCATTGGTTTCTTTAAGGTACGTGGCCACCAAAGAGCGCCATCTGACTCAAAAGAATTCCATGAGGTGACCAAGCGCGATGCACTCAAATCGCTCGAAAATGATTTGGATCGGTTGTTGCGCACTGCGCCAGCGGAAAAGCGCCCCGAGTTGCAAAAGGAAATGGTGCGATTCGCCGATTTGTTTGGACGCTTTCTGCAAGAAGGTAAGTGTGTATGGAGTTGCGATTGCTATCACACATACTTACATTTAAATAACTATGATCCCGTTTTTCCACTAAAACAGAGGGTCCTTCTATTGATTGGGACAAAATTCAGAAGTTGCCTGCGAACGCCGTCATGGATTACTCCAATCTGAGTTCGCCTAAAAATGAGCAGGTAACATGCCGACTTGATTTTATTTTTGCGTATACATATTTTTAAATTTCATATTCTTGTATTATTTCCATTTATTAAATATATATGCCTGTTTCTATTCAAACTCTCATTTTTTGTATGTGAATTGGTGAACCATTTTGATTCTGGTGTTTAATAGAACGAGGTAACAAATTGTAATTAATGTTTGAGATATTGAAAATGCCAAACCTAAATACTTAAATTATTTCTATAAATCTGCTAGTATATATAGCAAATGCTTTTACTTGAATTTCGATTGGCTTTTGTAATGTAATCTACATACATATACAAACCAACTATAACCACTTTCCACTTTCCTCGTATTTTAAATACATACTTTTCACTATCGAATTTTCTATTAACTGTACATATTTTTAAATATTAACTTTTCACTTTTACCATTTTGCGTACTAATTGCTTCTTTCGAATACTTTCCACCAGCGCTGGTTTATGGTTGTAAGTGTTTTATACTTTTTATCTAAACTTCTACGAGATATCTAGCGTTGTCTAATGTTGGCCGATATTAAATTTGGAAAAGAAATGCATTGGTTTATAGTGAGCTTGAGATTCCAGCAAGCAAAGAGAAAAATGCAAAAATTTATACAAAATACGACTCTTAGGAAATTAAATTGTTAGGCTATTCAACATAGAAACGCTGGTTATTTTTACAATATTTCGAAACACCATTGCCACATTTTAGTAGCTTTTCATTTTCTTAGCACTTTGTATAAACAATTGGCATTCGAAAGTAAACAAAAAAAACATAAAAATTTGGTAAAAATGATCCCAAAAAATGCAACTCAAAACACCAGATTTTTAATCTTACTACTTCATACTTAGCTAATAAAATAAGAAGAAAAACCAGTGAGTGAAATGAAAATGATTTAAAAGAGTATTTTTAAAAAAGCATACGATTTCTTGGGTATTTCTAAAAGTTTACCACCAATAAGTTATGTTACCAATGTTAAAACTAGAACATGCTTTAAAAAAAAATTGAAAAGCACATTTTACCAATTTAAAAACCAACTTTAAGCAGGCCGTACCCATGTATAGTATGCCCATGTGTAGCAAAAATTTTAGTTAATTTTTCACTTTGGGTTTTTATGGCCAAAAATAAGTTTGGTTAACAGTTTTTGAAAAGAAAATAACATAATTTTCGGTTTAAATTTTTAGGCACTCATAAAAAAGAAAGTTAATAGCTTCTTTTGGAACTAAAAATTCCGGCTATGACGCTATTTCTGCCGCAAGGTTCAGTAAATTCTTAAATGTTTCCGAAATCCCAAAATCCCAAAAGGCCAACGGAAGCTTTCCGAATGTAAAATACTAAGAAGTTCTGAGAATACTAAAAGTTTCCGAAATTTGAAATAAAAATTTCGAAAACTCTCGAAAAATTACGCAGGAAGAATCTCAAGGGCTCCATAAAAGTCCCGAACGAATTCTGAATGGTCCCGGGAAAATCTTGAAGTTCCTTGAAGGTTATCTAAAAGTGTCGAATAAGTCCCAAGTAATTCCGAACTACCCGAAGTGCCCGGACAAACTACCGAAAAATTTACTTAGAATCACTGAAATTCTGAAAGAACTTAAAGCTTCGGAAAAGTTAAACACGAGGAAGCCCAAAGAGCCCCTAAAAAAACAGCGAATGATTTCTGAATAGTCCCGAGAAAATCTTGAAGCTATCGAAACAATTTCCAAAAATAATTTTAAAAGGTCCGAAATATTCTGGAAGAATACTTGAAAATTTCTGAAAGATCTCGATAAGTTAATTATGTAGGTACTAAGAATCTCCGAAGTTCAAAAAACTCCCAAAGTCAAAGACGCAGAATCCCGAATGGCCCGAGTAAAATTATGAATGGTCCCTACAAAATCTTGTAGTTTTCGAAAAATTCGGAAAGGTTCAAAATGTCTGGAAAGTCCAGGAAAAATTCCAAAAGGTAAAGTACAAGAATTTCCGATGTTCAGAAAAAATGCATGGAAAGTTAAACTCGAAAAATCCCGAAGCCCGAAAAGTTCCGAGAAAGCTCTGAATAGTCCGAGAAAAACTTGAAATTATCGAAAAAATCGGCAGGTCGCGAAATAACTCCAAGTGTCCTGGTAAATTCCCAAAACAGTTCTGGAAGGCCCACAAAAAAGTCACAAAAAATTGGAGTGGTTCTGACAAAACCATGATTAGTATCGATAAACCCCGTTTTCTGGATCAATCAAAATTTCAAAAAATCGAAAAATTTTAATCATTTTCTGTCCTAACAATTATGTTTCAAACTTTGGGCCGTTTTCTCAAGTAGCTTTTAAAATTTATCTGCCCTTCAAACAAATGATTTGGAATTTTTTTTTTCGATATTCCTTGATCAAAGTAATGAATCTAATGAAGAAATCACTTATATTGAGGGTACGTTAAAGGGTATATTAATGCGGTTTTGATTTCAAAATCTAAGCGCAATTTTTATTTAAAATTATTTAAAATCGTGATTTTAATTTTTCTCTAACTTCAGGACATCTTTGACTACATGCAATATAGCTAGAGCGGTATACATGTATGTATATCAAAATGTCACTTTAGGCATTAATACTAGCTTCTAATTTACATACCATCATATAAGTACGGGCCTTAAAAAGCCTCCTTTCTCGATTTTCTTCTTTTTTCGCTTCTATGCATTTGAATTATTATTGGCTTACTTTCATTCTGTTGTTCTTTTGTTATTCGTCTCTTCAATCACTCCTACAATAATTTACTGATTCACGATACTTAAATGTTTTCTTTATCTTCAAAGCAGATTCGCACAATGTTAGACAAATTGGTTGTCGTAAAGCTGAATGGTGGTCTGGGTACATCTATGGGTTGCCATGGTCCTAAGAGTGTCATACCCGTGCGCTCCGATCTAACGTTCCTCGATTTAACTGTGCAACAAATTGAGGTAAGTATTGAATATAAAATTTTCACATAACCAAATTTTACCATCATCCATCGCAGCATTTGAATAAAACATACGATGCCAATGTACCGCTGGTGCTTATGAATTCATTCAACACTGATGAAGATACACAAAAAATCATACGCAAATATACCGGCTTTCGTGTTCAAATTCACACATTTAATCAGAGCTGTTTTCCGCGCATCAGCCGTGAATCATTCTTGCCAGTTGCCAAAGATTTGGATGTGGAGAAAGATATTGATGCGTATGTTGTTTGAATTTATTTAAGTAAAGAAATGTTCAGAGGATAAATTTCAAATATTGCCTTACAGCTGGTATCCACCCGGTCACGGCGACTTCTACGATACCTTCCGCAATTCTGGTCTGCTAAAGAAGTTTATCGACGAGGGCCGTGAATATTGTTTCCTTTCCAACATTGATAATCTGGGCGCTACCGTGGACTTGGCCATACTCAATAAATTGCTGGGTGAGGAACGTTCCGCACAACCTGTCGAATTTGTGATGGAAGTCACTGACAAAACACGTGCTGACGTCAAGGTAGGTTTGCTAGAAATAAATATTCGTTTAACTTTTAAAACTTATAAAAATTGGTTTCTTCTACTTCTTCAGGGTGGTACGCTCATTAACTTGGAAAACAAACTACGTTTGCTGGAAATCGCACAAGTGCCAAAAGAACATGTCGACGACTTCAAATCAGTAAAAACATTTAAATTCTTCAACACCAATAACATCTGGGCGAAATTGGATGGTAAGCAGGAGAAGAGTGTCTTGCATAGAATTCTAGTGCGCTTTCAGTTTAGTGCAAATATGTACTCACCGTTTTGTACATTCTTTTCATACAACAAAATAAAAACAATTGAAACCAGAAATATGACACTTACTAGGGCTGTTCAGGATCAAGGTGCATATGATCTCGCATTTGCATATTTCGGCGCATTTGTAAATTTACAACCATAAAATGCAAACGGTAGCCATGGTAGCAAGCATATAATTCGTAAATGCAAATACAAATGCAAATCCAAGACCATTTGCACAATATCCTGAACAGCCCTACTATTCACATATATGCATATGTACATATTTGCTAAAACTCAATAGCATCATGCCTAAAATACTGCAATATTTTTACACCTGCCATCTAATTTTTCACAGCTATCGATCGTGTACTCCGCGAGCGCACGCTCAAAATGGAGATCATTGTCAACAACAAAACAATGGAAAATGGTGTACGCGTAGTGCAACTGGAAACAGCCGTTGGTGCTGCCATGAAGTGTTTTGATGGCGCCATCGGCATCAATGTGCCACGTTCACGTTTCTTGCCAGTGAAAAAGACTTCGGATTTGTTGTTAGTCATGTCAAATCTGTATCACCTGAAAAACGGCAGTCTAGCCATGTCACCACAACGCATGTTCCCCACCACACCGCTTGTTAAGTTGGGCGAAAATCACTTCTCAAAGGTGAAAGAGTTCCTTGGCCGCTTCGCCAACATACCCGATATTATTGAGCTTGATCATTTGACGGTGTCCGGCGATGTCACATTTGGTCGCGGTGTGTCGCTTAGGGTATGTTTTTTGTTTTTTAAATATTATTTCAATTGATTTATTTTTTCGTAACTTAAAATTCGTTTTCCTTTGCAGGGTACTGTTATTATTATTGCTAATCATGGTGATCGTATTGATATACCAGCTGGTGCCATTCTGGACAATAAGATCGTCTCCGGTAATATGCGTATTTTGGATCATTAAAAAAGTTGCAGATCGCCGATGCTGTCCAAAAAACGCAAAGACTTCCTTATGAAATAAATCAGGAATTATTACGTAGAGTAGTCAGTTGCATATTTTTATAAGTGAAAAAGTTCAGGTGAAAACAAATAAAAAAAAAAATTATNTAAGATCGTCTCCGGTAATATGCGTATTTTGGATCATTAAAAAAGTTGCAAATCGCCGATGCTGTCCAAAAAAACGCAAAGACTTCCTTATGAAAAATATCAGGAATTATTACGTAGAGTAGTCAGTTGCATATTTTTATAAGTGAAAAAGTTCAGGTGAAAACAAATAAAAAAAAAAATTATATATTCATAAAAATGTCGCGCGGGAAAAAGTTTTATAAATCAATTTCGCAGGCATACATAAGCAATCCTGTAGATAATCGTGTATTGTTTTAAAATTTCCAAACGTTACAGGTAGTTTGTAAAGCAAAAATGTGAAAATTATTATATTTTAAGTGCAATTAAGAATTAAAAATTCCCAAATTGTTTTTATTTCGTTTGTTTTGTGTATCAGTAGGCGTTTTGTTTTTTAAATGCGCCTGCATCATGCCAAACTGTAGACGATANATTTCGTTTGTTTTGTGTATCAGTAGGCGTTTTGTTTTTTAAATGCGCCTACATCATGCCAAATCGTAGGCGATGCTTTTTGCCAAATTATATTTTGTAAAGTTTAACTGTTTTCTAATAGTTATTGTGTTACTTATTTGTAGGTTTAGCTTGCAAAATCCCCTTTAATTGAAGCCACATACTTACATTATATACTATGTATGCATACCCACAGCCAGATTGTTAAACAATTTGTAGAATAAAATTCGAAAACTTTAAATTTATACTTGTTTTATCTTTGTTAGTAATTTATTTAAGGGTTTTGGTGTCACATCCCTTAGCAGAAGTACAGGAAAGAAGAAAACAACCCGAGAAAACTTCACTTCACTCCACATCCAATAACGTTCGACTCGAACTGCAGCCATCCATATACTCTTCTTCTTCGCTGAATAGCTGCTCTGCGAACGGCCCAAACTCCATGTGCTGCGACTTGGAGCAGCCCCATTTCATTGCTTCCTTGCAAGTAATATCCAAATTGACGCTGAATTGGTCGCGTGGCCATTTCGTTGGCCATACAAAGTCATTGGCGTCAACCTCAAGACAAGAACGAAATAGTGAACAAATTTTCTTCGAACCATGCATGGTGAATGTGAAGAGTGTTTTGGGCACACGCTTGGTATTGCTTATATCGTTGCCGTATACATAGATCTCGCTGAGGCACTCCCAAACGCGTCTAATTGGGGGGAACAAAAAATATTCAGTTATCTTTTAGTTTTCGGCAAGTAATAGATANATTTTCTTCGAACCATGCATGGTGAATGTGAAGAGTGTTTTGGGCACACGCTTGGTATTGCTTATATCGTTGCCGTATACATAGATCTCGCTGAGGCACTCCCAAACGCGTCTAATTGGGGGAAAAAAATATTCAGTTATCTTTTAGTTTTCGGCAAGTAATAGAAATTGAGTTATTTACTTGAAAGCTTTTCCTGTAATATTGGCCATTAACATTTCGGAGAGTATGAGGAGCAAGTTGCAGCGCTTTTCTGGTTGATCGCGGGATCGACTTTTCGATGTCCATAGCATGCCCAGCCAAGGGCCTCTCAACTCCACGACGATGCGGCTGTGCAATGGCATTGCGGCGGAAGAGATTATGGTGGACTTGTCGAATTTCTGGAAATTTTGAAGAATTAAGATTTGGAAGATGTGCATTACTGCAAAAGACCATAAGTAAAACTACTTTTGGAGGGGTCTTTTTTTTAATAGATGACTCGTGCTCGAAAGTAAAAGGTTACCCCCTCAGAACTTTCTCGCTTCTTCACTATAAGGAATCCCCTATGAAATCCTCGGCAACCCTTTTCATCACCTGGACGTGCAGGTCAGACTAAATCTAGGAATTCACATCGATGGCGAACCAATTATGACTGTGAGCAATCCAAAAATACTGAGAGTTACCTTCGGAAGTTCGCTATTTTTCTCAGCGCACAATCTAAATTGTCAACAGAGTACAGAGCCGCAACAAGCTACTCAAGGCGCTAGCTGGCAGCACCTGGGGCAAAGACAATGAAACGTTGTTGGCAACTTACAGCAAATGGGTTGGCCGGTACTAAACTATGCGGCGCCCGTGTGGTGGGCGGGGATTAGTAGAACGCAGTGGACGAAGGTACAGACTTGGCAAAACACGGCACTCCGGAAGGCCATCGGATTCCTTCCTCTGTCGCCACAGCACCACCTGTCAAGGCGCACAATACAATGCCGTGCAAGCAATTCCTAAATTCCGAAGAGCCCTCGCCAATGGACGTTAGACGGCATCTATACGAACAAGCGGACGAAGTCCAGAGGTTGATGAACGCAGTCGACAAGCCATGAACTGCATTCACAGGGAGTTAGTCTCGATTTACACCGACCTGTGAATGGCTTTTTGGGAACACAGCCACCTGACGTGGACCAGACAGAACTTATTCCATAGCCCAGCTTCGTACTGGATAATGCAGCAGGCTAAACTCTTACCTGAGTAGGATAAATGCAGATGTGCCCAATAAGCGCCTGGCAAGCGAACGGTCAACTCCCGACTCGCGGTACCTCTTCACATGCCCCCTAAACCCCACTCAATTGACGCCTCTCTCCCTATGGACTAACCCAGTTGGAGTGGCACGAGCCGATCTAGACAGGGCGAAGTAGCCGCTAAAACAATAACAACAACGCCAAAATGCTGTAAGGAGGGTAGCCTTAGTAGCATTAGAGCTAATGAAAGCATTTCATACGGTATTTCACGGAGTGCTTCTTGAAGATATTGAAAAAAGTTGCCTTTCACCTGGATTAAAGTTGTGTCATTTCGTCCAAATTAAGAAGCATAAAACAGGAAAACCCTAATGGCGAGGCCTTTTCACCACTAGTGTTTAATTCTATATATCGAGATCCTCTTCAGAGGCCTTTCGCCGATAAGTGTTTGATTTTCGTGCAGGGCAACGACATTCATGACTACTGTTTCAAAGAGAATAGTTTCTCTTAGATCTTTCCGTCTTCAGCACTGCATGGTATCCAACTTTACCTTTTCTCAGCGAAGTCAGCAGCAACTCGTTTTACTATCTGTTCTAAGAAGGTCAACCTGAACTTACATCAAAACGCGTGTGTGGTCACCGATGACTAGTAGGACGTAGTGCACGTAGCTCCAGACTTATCACAACGCCGCACGTGGGACTGCAATAAGATGCTTACTGATGTCGCTTGGAACTTCAAAAGCCATTTCATGGACCTCAAAGACTAAGTTTAGTTAGCCGCCGAACCAGACGAACTATACAAAGGCCAAACTATACAAGTCACCGGAGACCTACCATCTAACACAGATGAACAGCTCGAGTTGCTCGCATGGGACCTGCGTTAATTTGGCACAACCTCTTACTGAATGTTGAAGGAGTTTAAACTGCTATATGGAATAAAACCCGAAATATCCGATAACAGAGGGTGTCTATCACGTTACTAACCACATAAATCAGTCATGGGCCAGCCCTAACAGTACTTCCATTTACCTTAAAAAACCGCATTAACGTCAAATTGTGCAGCAACCTCGCGTGCTGCGAACGTCGATCTCCAATCAATTCATCGACCATGTCATAAAAATGCAACAGAAAAGTATTGATCTGCAACACTTGCGGGCAGAAGGGATCCTTGTATGAGCTGCGTAGCATAGGCAAGATGCAACCACAGAAAGTGGACTCGTAACCCGACTTCACATAGACCTCGGTCGCTTGTTCGATCGTTTGTAAGGCTGCGCACTCGTAACTACTCGCATTGGTGAGCTTGGATTTATGCAATGCCTTCTTGAATTCGTGCATTACGAAGGCATCGTTGGCATCACGCAGCCGCTTCGAAGTGCCGCGTATACGATTGTGATGCCAAATATTTATATAGCCGATGATCTTCTCGAGCAACTCGATTGGCAGATCGCAAAGATTGAGCGGTGGATTTGAGTTGTCCACGCGATGGCGTACTTTGAGCTGACGTCGTGGTACCTTGGCGATGGGTTCATCGTTGGATTGATCGCTACCCGATGTGCACTTCAATTTTGGCATACCGAAACGGTAATATTCACAGAAAAGTGTTATGTAAATAAAATAATTTATTTTCTAGTTGATTGGAATTTGTCGATGCATTCGAAAAGCGCGAATCACTAGACACACAATGAACTAACAAATACGAAAACTAAAATAAACAAATACACAAATTTAACCTTTCCGTTCGATATTTTCTTAATTATGACAAATTTTGAAATTCAATTAACAATAATATATACAGTAACAAACGGAAACAGTATTGTTTATAACTACAACATAACTCACACACGAAATTTTCACTAACAGAAATTAAAAATTATGAAAATACGAATTGATTCACAAATTTTGAAGCGAACTCGCTTTTCAAATTTATAAATGCATTTTTCCGTTGTCAATTTTGACAAGTATACTACTCATTTTGTAGCGAGTGTTACAAATAATTAGAAAATAATTATAAGTTCAAACAACTAAATAAAATTACTGTAAATTAAACTCATTATCTAGCTTTTAGTTAAAGATTTATTAATTAAAAATGTTATATGAATCTTATACGAAAATATTTAGAGTATAATGGGCCAATTTTAACAGTTCAAACTTTTGGTTATATTTTGAAATAAACTATTTTTACAAATGAATTCAACAAATTGAATTGCTTAAGTTTTAATAATTTTTTAAAAACAAACTACATATAGCTAATATTTTGTGTATAAGAATATATACTAGGTGTGTATGTATTTATATATAATTCGGTTAAATTAAAGCTTTAGGTATATATGTCTGTATGTATTTTAGTTAATTTAATTATTATAAATAGTACTCAAGTTTAAGTGTAAGACTAAATAAACATACATTTATACATGTAATTTTTAATTGAAATATCTTTGTTTTTGGGTTTGCTATTAGTTTCTTAGTTTTACTTCTTCTTCTTCTTCTTCTATAGACCTTGTACATAAGCATTGCTTTCGATTTCGTTAAGTAGTTTTTTTGAAAGCCTTTCCCTTGAAAACTTGGTGCTGTA